GTGTATGGGTCGTCGGCGTAGTGATCGGGGTGCTTGAGATGCAGTTGGGTCTCGAGCTGTGTGAGCAACGCTGGCCGGAATCCTCGAAGAAATGCGCGACTTTGCTCGATAGTGGAGAGCCGGTGCTGTGCGATGAGATGTTTCGTAATGGCCATGAAGTCATGGTAATAGCAGCCTAGGTCTGCCGCGTTGTGAATCCCGATACGAGCGCGTTCTCCGATGAGCTGATCCATGTCCGCCAGCGACCACTTTCTTGTATCGTCGGCGCCAGGATAGAGTGCTCGTACGTCGGCTTTCCAGTCGTTGTAGCTCTTGGCTACGTCGATGAAGGACTCGATGGTTTCCCATAAGTCGGCGACGTCGATCGAAGGGTACCGAACGGCCCATTGTTTCTTGGCCGCGTCGTCGGTAATCTGACACCGGGTGAACAACGCCTCGAGGTCCTGGAAGTAACGCCGAAGCGAACGGACTTCCGATGGGTCGAAGCTTGGTGCCATCGAATGACCGCGTGGGGGCATCAACGGTGTGTTCGTGTTCTGACTCATGTTCGTAGTGTTAGTAGGAGCTGGGCTTGAAGAGGACGCGGTAGTAGTCGAAGGATTTGTAGGTGCGGGCGGTGCGGGGTTGGAGTTCGAAGCTGTGTTCGAAGGTGCCAATAGTGGCGGAGGTGCCAGGTCGGACGCAGGTACGACTGAAAGTCGCGAAGAGGATGCGATGGATGGCTGAGTGTGGGCGCGAAAAGAAGACGGAGTCGGAAGTATGAGATTCGAAGTAGATGGGAAGGGATCCTCGGGTTCGGGCGAAGAACCGGATTGGTCGAAAAGATCAGGAGTCGAAGTGGCATAGTCGGAAGTAGTGAGGCCTAGAAGCTCGGGGGACAAAGTGCGTTCTTCGGCGGTCGAAGGGATCGGTTCTTCGTCGAAGTCGTCCTGGAGTTCTTGGTCTATCTCGTCTTCTTCGTCGCGGTCGAAGTTACCGGGAATTGTTGGAGAGGGAGTCGAGTGCGTTTGAGAGGAGCTGTCGAGGTTCTCGGCGGCGCTGCGGCTAGCAGCCTCACGCGCTTGCGAGCGGGTGAGTACTGGAGACGTTTTCGGAAACCCGAAAGCGGCGAATTCTTGCCTGAGATCCCCTCGCGGTGGGCTCCAGAAATGATGCGACCTACGAAACCCTAACCCCTAACCTGGGTGCGACCTAAAGGGACTAGAGAGACGGATTATAGTCTTAGTGAGAGGGGAGTTAGCAGCAAGGTGTCCCGCGGTTCGAGTTTACACGAGAAACACCCTTGGAAAAGGCTACGAACAATGGGGAAGGTACGAGGTGGCTTCGACACGTCGTCGAAGCTACTCGGAGGCTGTGGGTGGTTAGCGGAGACGATCGAAGCTCGGCAGAGCTCTTCGATGTATCGTAGAAGGAAGGGACACGATTTGATAGGGTGGACTTAGCTAGGACGCGGTTTGCAGTTTCTTCGACAATAGTCGAAGTCGAAGGGTTTGTCGAGACGGTATCGACGAGTAAACGCAGTGGACGAGGTTTCGAGGTTACGCAGTGAGGAACAAAGTGACGCAGTTGAAGGCTTAGACGCGGGGCGAACTTGACTTATGAGCTCTGAACTCGAGGGGGGAACCGGATCTTGTATTTTTGGAGAGAAATACGACAGATTTATACTACGCATAGGACGCTACGAC